TCTGTCCAGACTATCAAATATGCAATGGTTCGAAAGTTTTATTTATTAGTTCTTGCTCAACTGGTGGATTGTAATGTATTGGAAAATTTCGAGGAAATTTTTTCACTGTTTTGCATTGTTGGTCTTCACGAACATGTCGACTCAATCACACAGAATGGTTTTTCTCCTTTGGATGCACGTAAAAACCTGGAGGAAAAAATTAGTTCTCGTGAGTTTCCCCTGGAATCCGGAATGGAGAAAAACTCAAATGAAAACCTATTGTATGAAGAGAGCGACGAAAATTCCACAAAAAATGATGGAATCACGAGTCGAGTAAAATTATGGATCGATGCAATTTACGAAAAAGCAAGTCGAGTCGTAAAAGATGGATCTGAACCAAATTGTTTTTTTTGTCCAGAGTTTTTCAAACAGTTTCTACCATTGGCATATGAATTCTGTTTGTGGACTTCAGTGGCTGTGCCGTATAGTCGAGGACATGCAACTACTAGCTACGTGGAAGGACATTTCGCTGACCTTAAACACAGAGTTTTAAAAAATTATAATGGTCCTATTCGAGTAGATAAATTTCTGAAAATTCTGCATGATGATCGTGAAGCCAATGGAATAATCTTAAATTCGAAATTGAAAGTATTCTGTCAGATGCAAGGTCCTTGTCCAAGTCCTCTACTGAAAAAAATGGAAGATTCAAGTCCAACTCAACCAGCAGCTGACGAGGCACCACATAGAGAAGAGGATACCATGTCAGGTGGTACGGGCGAGTCAATGTTGCAACCACCAATAGCAGGCAAAGTACTGCATGTAGAAGAAGCCAAAAATCACAGTGACTTACATGTTGCCTCTGGATGGCCGGAGACACTTCCCACGACCATAGAATTGAACAAAAATATTTGGCATGACAAGATGATTCCAGAAGTATCTGGATTTTATTTTCAAATCCAGCCTGATATTGAATATCAAAATGAATTATTTGGAACGAAACAGAAGAAGTCTGTGCTATTGAATGGAAACAGAGTGAAAACTCCAACTCTAATTGATGGGAAATACTATTATGCAGTAAACACATGCCCATTCGATGCTGTTATTCAAATATTAAGGGAGGCTGCCATCGATGATCGACAATATTTGGATCATTTACAATCACTAGAAAATGATACAATGAAATTCATCTCAAATTTTGTGGAGAATGGAGCAACCAAGCAGATTTATGATGCTAGAGTCAAACTCCTTGCACGTCTTTTGCCTGAATCAATTAATACTCAGTACATTAAAACTCCAAATTTATCTTCATCTACGATTAACAGCTGGGGAAATCCTCAGGAAATGTGGGTAAAATGTTTTCGTCATCTTCCTTCTGCCATGATCAATTTTAATTGTTCTCAGTGTGGTGATTCCTCGGCCCCTAGATATAGTTTATGGGTGAAACATGATGTTATCGCTGCTGAAGGTTTTCAAGCCATGACGAAGTGCGGAGTTTTCAATCAGCCCCATAACTACATATGTCAGAATGATGGCTGCGGTGAGCTTTTAACAACAACCATTGATTACAGTTTACAAGTATACGTAGAATTGGACATCCGGGCCAACTTGCAGCAACTGACAGGCTTGTCATGTTATCTAAGCGATATACCTACTACCATTGAGTTAAAAGACTATAAATATCGCCTAGCTGGAGTAATACATCATCAACCTGGACATTGGTCGAGCTATTGCTACAGGAGAATGAGGACGTGGGAATTTTACAATGATATGCAGCCACAAATAACGACGTGCACCGCTAACAGAACGAAAATCGAGCCTCATGCAGCAATTTATATTCGAATGTATTCCATGAAACGCAAAACCACTGATGTTCACATAGTAGTAAATGAACCGATGCCAGCGGAGGGGAAAACCACCCAAAAGGAGAGCATAAAAATTTCAAGACATATGGTTGAAAGTTCTTCCAACAAAGACAATGGATTTGGATCCCAGTTTGACGACTCTGATACAACGTCTCGTGATAACTGGAGGGGCAAGGAGAAACTTGAAGTTTTCGTCAACTCCTTCACCTTCGATGACAGTATAACTACTAAAGGTGGAACGGTACATTTACTACAGTCCGGGCAGCTCCTACCTGGGATTGTCATCGATGGAATAGTCTATCACACAAGTAATACTTCCGGTTTTGACACTTTAGTTAATATACTATGGTGTTCAGCTGCAGACGATCCGAATTACGAGTTACTGATTCGCAATTCGGAGGATAACTGTGTCTTCCAGTTGATCGTCGCCCTTCTCGATGGAATCGATTCAAAACAAATTTACAAAGACAGAATGCTCCTACTGAAATCTAAGTGTGATGATGGTATCTATCAATGCATGAAAAATCCCTCAGGCATTATTGACTCTTATGACATTAGAGGATGTGGCACTCCGGCAGACATATGGACCCAGTTTTTTTCTACTCAGCCTAGTCAGTGGAAGACATATAATTGTAACGTTTGTGGTTACCACGTGGAAAGCATTCCAGTACTGGAAATAAATTATACGTCTTTTATGACAGAATCGAGTAAGTTAGAACAAGCTCTGGAATATCATCAATGGCTGAAGAATGTCCAATGTCAATGCCAGTGCTCAGGCTCGTGTACCATCGAGACAAGGATGAATTTTCACATATTTTTGAATCTCTCACAACCACAAAAATGTTGCCTCTCCGACATCCCCTCCATCATAAAAGTGCATTCTTTTTTCAGGTATATTTACTACTCAATTAATTTGAATCAAATTATTCGAAAACGAATATTTATTTTTTGGAATCTGATTTATTGCAATGTATGTTTACAGATTAGTCGGGGTAATTTCAGCCACAAAAGGACGCTACATAGCCCACTGTCCAGTATCGTCTGGTACTTGGCAGTTGTACGACGGTCATTCCTGTGCAGTCCAGGATATATCTGCTTCTAAGTATATGAAGCCGATGGGATTGGTTTACGTGCTCGATGAATCATCAATGTTAGATTAAGCCTTTTCCAGAATGATTAGTATTTTGCTGCAATATATATTTTTGATTAAAAAAAACGTACTGAGTTATTGTTACAAAGTGGATTGACACGCCTCCCCTGATGTAAATAATCTTAGAAATAAAACACTTATGATATTTTCTATTTAATCTTATATGATGGTGAAATCGATTTTCCATACTTGTTTGAAATTTTATCAAAATAATTTTGCAGTCATAACATTTAAGCAGTTCAAATTTTACCACCTGGCATGGTGGCGCCCCCTCGTCGTTGAAGCCAGAAACTCCTGTCACTTTTTAACGCCAGCTGTTATTATTAATTTATGACAAGAAAAATAATGCAAACTATTAATAGTTTCACTATCAATCTCTTGCAAACGATTCCGCATCCATTAAGCCCCTGCCGAACCGTCTATCATTTATTTTCGGAAAATATGGTGCCAACTTTCGGAAAGATAGCACCACATTTTATAATTTTTTAAAAAATTCATAAAAAAATTTTGGAGCACTTGCAAACAGAAATTTTTAGCTAGCTTTCACATGCAAACCATTTGCAAACGATATAAATTATTGTAATAATTAATTTATTTCATCAGAGTGTCAACTTTCCGGAGCTTTAGAAAGCAGTTGCCCCTTGGCACTGGTGAGTTGTAACTGGCGTCCTGGCGATAAGACCGAGACGACATAATCTCTGACTCAAGCAGTAAAAACGAGAGAGGGAACAGTCGAGCCAGTGAAACAGCCGAGCAACTCTGGCGGCCATATTATCAGTGAGGTGTCAGTATTTGTTCAACGTGACGGGATTTTTTGGGTGTGGATTGCAAGATTTTTTTCAACTCCTCTCATCCTCAAAGGTGATCACCAATTCAAGATCTGTCAATTTATAATACACTCCCCAAAACAACACTCCCATCTCCCTAATATATATTACACTCTTATGTATAACAGGTAAATACGTAATTTTTATCACTGACTCTGATGGATTGTCACTAGGGCGGCACCGATATTCTACTTTTCTAAAACGAATTTAAATATTTTCAATATTATTGTGAGTTAATGTGATTAATCGAACGCTCATTAGTCTGTAATTATATTTTTATTAATTCCGTATCCACATATATTTCAATATTTTATCGTAGAGATGATAACAAAATTTGATGTCATTCGCGTGATAGCCCTGTTAAATTAATTCTGGAGAAATGTACTATTCTTCCATCTTCAGATTGCTCCACGTTTCTAGTTCCCTCAACCAAAGAGAAAATTCCAAAACATCGATCAATATGGAATCATTAATCAATCAATTGAGTGCTACACCAATAGCAATTAACGTAACCAATAATTTTCACTGTCAAAAAAGTTTTTAGTGGAAGAAACAGAAAGGCTGCCGACTTAATGACAAATTTCTATCAATGGCGTTTTAATTGATAAAATTATGAAAGAATGAATTATTGCACATGTTCTCTTGATGTACTCCCATGTACTTATATGTGGCACAACTCTTGATGACCTTGAATGAGAAAACGGTTCATCCAAGTTGATGATTTTTTTCTTTGGCCTCAGGTCTATCATCAGTGCCACATCTGCCACAAATGAGATCCTTCAATCAATTTTTTTTTTCATGTCTCAATAATTGAATAATAATTCAATGTACTGCATGAATTGTTGTCCCTTTTGTTACAGATTACAGCCATCCAGTTTTAGTTGAGACCTATCCCATCTGAAACCTCCAAAATGCCGAAACCCGTAAGTTAATAATTTTATCAGCCCCCCACAGTAATTAAAAAATACTTCTCATTATCAATACTCATCAGTAAAAACGGAGATAACATAGATTCCCCAATTGTTTAATTAAAAAAATTTATCGTTTCGGCGTCATTAAAATCGTGTTAATTATTCAATGAAGATGTTTCGTAATCATTAATTAATTGAAAAAATGTAATTAAAGTGTCATTTTCTTCTCGAAAACCGACAATAAACCTTGACGTTGACAAATCATTTAAGTTACATTCAAATGAACACCCGGTAGAGTAAACGTTCACCGATTGGCTGCAAGTTAGCGGACCGGCTTGTTCACGTGACCATTATCGCCCCGACGCATTCTCCATCTTCATTTTCCACCAGTCCACGCCTAAGGTTTGAAGAAGGAAACTAAACAGCCAGAGTGAACCCTCGGCTTTTTATTCCCCTCCGAAAACATTTCAGTTGTAAAATAAAAAGAAGAAAGGAAAGGCGAATATAAAAATTGTAGTGGGGATAAAAAGGCGCCTGGAGAGTAGACGCCGGTTGGGGCTGCACTTGCCCCTTGGCCCATTGTTCAATCTGCAACCAAAGTGTCCGAACATATTGGAATATTCAGAAAATATCAATCCAATCATTCATTATATTATTAAATATAAGAGTCGTGTGACGTGCACTTGTGACGCGGAATTGTTGTTACTATTGGCGAATTATAACGAAATTCTAGAAAGTGAATTGAATTATTGGTTACGAGTTTCATTATTTTATTTGTGTTGTACTGTGGTTAGTTCACGTCACGTGATAAACATGGTGGCCAGTTCGAAAATGGTAAGGCGCGGCTCTCATTTTTCTTTTTCCTCTCATTCAATTGTGATCCCCTCTGTCCCCCCATTATCATTATTTTTATCTATAATACAACGTGATCCGTGGACTCTCCCAGTTTTTTTTCGAAATGAAAAAATTTTAAGTGTAAAATTTGAGAGAATTCATTTCCACTCACGTTTCTACGAATTCCCGTTATTTTTTTCCCTTTTTCCTTCTCTTTTCTTTCAAATTGGTGCAGAAGGTCAGGCTTCCTATACCTGAAGAGAAACCGGTGTTTGAACCTCCCGTCCCAGAAAAGGCGCCGACTTTATACCGGGTGTCTCAATAGCAAATATTGAATTATCACGAGAGACGATCCATTAACAATTCCAATATTAAATCTTGTTTGTTTTATTTTTCTGTTTCATGATTGATCGATTAATTGAACGTGGGACCATGAAGATGAACGTCAGGGTGACCACGATGGATGCCGAGCTGGAGTTTGCTATCCAGCAGGCAACCACTGGTAAACAACTGTTCGATCAAGTTGTTAAAACCATTGGTCTACGTGAAGTTTGGTTCTTTGGACTCCAGTACACCGATATCAAAGGCGATCTCACCTGGATAAAGCTCTACAAAAAGGTAAGTCTAATTCCCCAATTCTCAATTTCTATTTTCCATTATTATTCCCACACGTCATCAACCTCAGCGATGAATTTCCTTGAAGGATACCTGAACTTTAATCATCACGCATTCAGTATCTAAGCCTTGTCCTATATCTTTCTCTTTTCTTCATGCGTCACTCAAGCAATCCAACGCTGTCAGGGGAATTGCGTCACAAATGGCTATAAAAAAATTGAAAGAGGAAAAAAAAATTAAAAAGCCATGTGAAGATGACAAATAATGATGTCATCGGTCTCCCCGGGGGATACGTGTGTAGGCTATCTGCCTCGGATGTTTCCCACAAGTTTTGTTATAAATTGCTCAATTTATTTATTTCGACACTTCAGTCTTTTATAAACTCTCCATAAACAAATTATCAGGATTAATATTAGTTTATCCATTTGGTAAAGAAATCACATGATTTCCTGGTAGAGAAAATTCAATAATTCTCGTGTTAGATGTTGAAAATCTTGTTCTCTTTAAAACCAATGAAATTTGCAAGCAGCCAGAGAGTGCTTTAACACGAGTCGTTAAAAAGGAGGTCAAAAGGAAAGTACGGAAGCTGAGAGGTTGTTCAGATTCGGATTCTGATGACGATGAGTATGATGGGGAACTGGTAAGATTTATTTCCGGAAGAGTAGATCTGATCTAGTGGTGAATTCCGTATTTCTCCTCATCTTAGAATTGATTATGTCATGTGAATAATCAAGGGCTCGATAAAAACAGGCATTTCCTTTCATCCAACAGAAATTTGTTGCCCTTGCCACACGTATGGTAGAACCCCTCCATCGAAAATTTATTCAATAAATTGTAGCAATTGTTGAATAACAATTTTTGGAAGTACATCTGTAGGGCTGAAGAAGTAGAGTCTTTCAATGCCATAGTAGCATCACTTTATCGGGACTCTTCGTTCATCTCGTGATGAAATAGAAAAAAAAAAGACATCCAGGTGTGCACTGTGTACTTGTGGACTCTGTACTCGTGGATCCTTACGTAATATCCATATTAACTAGGCTTTTAAACTCCAGTGTACAGCACAATTCGTACCAACAACTCAAACTCGATTAAACTCGACCTTTAATGTATCAAACATGTCACAGATTCATGTAGGATTTTCTCATTGTTAAGTACTCTAAGGAGAAATTCAATTGATACCGTCAGTTGAGTCTTTGTGTCCTTCATTAGACGGAGGATAATTCATTGACGTTAATTCCACGAATCATATCTCTCAACTTTGGAAACGCATACCAATGATTCATCGGGAGGAATCTTTTTCTTAGAGTTGATGAGGATGTACTTTTTACCGTGTTCAAACTCATTGATATAAATAACTTGAAACATTTATTTATTTTATATTTTCATTCGAATGATCGTCAAATATAACGGGGATGGCGTTGTAAAGTAGAATATTTTCGGTTGACCTATATGAGTTTGTTGATATTTAATTGCTTGTACCTGAGAATTAATAAATCACAGGCTGGAAATTTATGAATGATTGAATGAATGAAAGAACGCAAATAATTGCAGACACAAGGAAGACATTACGAGGACAAGTCCTTGTTCTGTCGTGACATTAATATTTTTTTTTCTTCTGTTATCTTGAATATGGAACAACATGAACAAAAATTACTCATCACAAAAACAGAAAAGCATGAAAAAACTTGTTGGTATTATTGGCGTATACTCCTACTAACCATCCCTGGTAATGATAAATTGAAAAAATTATCTTACGGAAATAATAATAAACCGGAAAAATTTTTAATCGTGTTGAGATTGTCCTTTAATGTGACATTATTTTCCTTGTCTTTTTTTTTTCTCCAATACGCATACCGATGCTAACAACTGGAAGCCTGGACTTTCATTCTTCTGCAGGGTAAGGTGCAATAATTTATTGTAATCCCCACTAGATTCAACTCGCAAACATATTATTTATTATTTTATTTTTCAAATGTACGTGTATGAAAATTAGTTACTGCAAAATTGCTGGAATGAGAAATAAGTTAAAAAATAATAGAATAATTGCGCTAGCTATATTGTGAAATTGGAGTTTGTGCTGATTATGAACTATATATATAAATGTATCTGTTATTATGGCCTGTCATATGTCATGAGGTAATTTTTTTTTTCTTACAATTAGCGATGTTTATCCCCGATGGGAGTAAAAAATAAATAAATAAATAAAAAACGATGACTTTTTTGTCTGATACGGTGAAGAAAATGTATGGCAAATTATTGCAGGTACTACCGTGCAGCCGAAGAAATATCTGGCACGTAAGAGTTTAAATTATTGCATGAATTTGAGAATACGTGTCAAAAAAATGTTCATTAATAGTATTTAATCATTCGAAATTGAAGGCTCAAAAGCCAGTGGATAATATAAATTACATCATATTTTTTATTTATTTTCGTTATTACGTTTGACGACTGAAACGTTGACAGTTAATACCTACTGTCAATTATTCTTACACAACATCATTAATCACGCATTGCATTTCTACTGTTATACCACAATTTCATCTACCAATTATCTAGAAAAATAACAATAATCATTGGACAGAAATATTCCTCGAATAATTATTAAAGTGGAGCTGACGTACAAATAAATCCACAGCTTACTTATAATTAATTCTATGATTATTTATATTATTATTATTGCTGTTGTAGTTGTTGTAGTGATTTTTATTGTGATTATTACTATTATATTATTATTAGTGTAATTATGAATTTGTGTAGTGCTCGGATTACATTTGTAATTAAATTTTCAGCCATGAATATGAATGATAGTGTGGAACTAGAGAAAATTACGAGTGACTCGTGTTATTGGATAAAGAGAATCAATTATTAAATAAAAAAATATATTGGATTACAGGTAATGAGCCAGGAGGTGAAGAAAGAGAATCCCCTGCAGTTCAAATTTCGTGCCAAATTTTATCCCGAGGACGTTGCTGAGGAGCTCATACAAGACATTACTCTACGACTTTTTTATCTCCAGGTAATAATCTTGAATTCATGCTGACTGAAGATAAAATAGTAATAACAAATAAATGGGTGATGTTTTGAAGGTGAAAAATGCCATTCTCACTGATGACATATATTGTCCACCTGAGACATCAGTATTGTTGGCCTCGTACGCAGTTCAGGCGAGACATGGTGATTTTCAAAAGGGAATCCATACACCGGGATTCCTCGCCAATGATCGCCTTCTTCCTCAGCGTGTTATGGATCAACACAAGATGAGCAAAGAAGAGTGGGAGAGTTCCATCACGACATGGTGGCAAGAGCATCGTGGGATGCTGCGAGAGGATGGCATGATGGAATATCTGAAGATCGCTCAGGATTTGGAGATGTATGGTGTCAATTACTTTGAGATAAGAAATAAAAAAGGAACCGAGCTGTGGTTGGGTGTTGACGCACTTGGACTCAATATCTATGAGAAAGATGACAAATTGACGCCGAAGATTGGTTTTCCATGGTCGGAAATACGCAATATTTCTTTCAATGATAAAAAATTTATAATAAAACCAATTGACAAGAAGGCACCGGATTTTGTATTCTTTGCACCAAGGGTCAAGATCAACAAAAGAATCTTGGCACTTTGTATGGGCAATCACGAGCTGTACATGCGTAGACGCAAGCCAGATACCATTGATGTTCAGCAAATGAAGGCTCAGGCACGTGATGAGAAGATAGCTAAGCAGCAGCAGCGTGAGAAGCTCCAGTTGGAAATAGCAGCGCGTGAACGTGCTGAGAAGAAACAGCAGGAATATGAGGAGCGACTCAGAAGTATGGCTGAAGAGATGGATAGGCGGCAGGCAGAACTCAATGAAGCTCAAGAAATGATTAGACGTTTGGAAGAACAACTGAGACAATTGCAGCAGGCTAAAGAGGAGCTTGAGGATCGTCAGAAGGAATTGACTGCTATGATGGAGAAACTTGAGCGTTCTCACGAGATGGAGGCGGCTGAGCGCGCCAAGTTGGAACAAGAAATTCATGCTAAACAGGAGGAAGTTATGCGCATTCAGTCGGAAGTCGAAGCTAAAGATGCTGAGGCGCGTCGATTACAGGAGGAAGTCGAAGCTGCTAGGTAAATTCTATCTCTGCTTTTATTGAAATATATTGAGATGGTGATCATGTGTATTAAATTTATATAATTATTTTTAAGACTACGACAAGAGGAAGCTGATAGAGCTTTTCAAGCAACTACCACTCCACATCATCATCATGTTGAGGAGAACGAGGATGGTGAAGACGAGGGAGAGGATGAGGCCCCTCATGGTGACGTCACTAAAGATCTAGTCACGGATGAATCTATCATTGATCCTGTCGAAGAACGACGCACACTGGCAGAGAGAAACGAACGTCTCCATGATCAGCTCAAGGTATCATTTTTTTTATTTAACTTGACTTTCATCAATAGCTATTTTATTTTTATCAAGGATTTTTCTCATTTTTCAGGCATTAAAACAAGATCTTGCCCAGTCTCGAGATGAAACTAAAGAGACGGTTATGGATAAAATTCACAGGGAAAATGTTCGTCAGGGTCGTGACAAATACAAGACTTTGCGTGAAATTCGCAAAGGTAATACTAAGCGCCGAGTTGATCAGTTTGAAAACATGTAAATTATCGTTATGGGGCATTATTTTCAACACTCAATAAAAAAGGAGCAGATCGATGAGGGAGAGGCACATAGAATATTATTTGTAAATTTCTATATTCATTTCACAGCTTGATAGAGAGCCATTAACAAAATATTAGCATTATATCAAGTTCAATGGAATGCAATACAGATAATTACCTTTCACAGTGAAAAATAGGAATGGAGGAATTAATTGTATTAAAGTGGCCCCATGGTAAGTCCCTCATCTCTGTAATCCTCATAATTCTAAATATGTAAATGCATTATCGAATGAAAATGAAAAGATACAAATTTTACCATCTATCTGCATATCGATCACTCAATGGATCATTTCCGCCTTATAATTTTTTTTCCACATAATTAAAAACAAAAAAAAATTATATTTTTCTGCCATTTTTTAAGCGTCAAAGTCAGTCCTTCCTGCGATATTTTGGAGAATATTTTTCACGTTTTTAAGAAAGAAGGAAATAAAACGCAAAAAAAAAAGAAAACAAAGATTTTTCTTGAAAGATACTCTATTTAAAATTTTTCCGGATCGAATGGGACTGATGTGAACTTTCAGTGTAAAAGAAAATCCCAACTCTTATGATATAAATCATTGCGCGTTTTCCCTCAGATATTATAGCCTCGGTGGCTTATCCTCGCACTGTTAATACCTTTGAACAATCACAATTAATTAGTGATTTTATATTAAAAAACACTGTTGTGGCCTTCCTAGTAGGTATAATGTAACACGCTAATGGTAAAGTGAAGCTATTTACCGGCAAACTGATGGCCGTGTATTTTTTTACCACCAAAATTGATTATAAAACCATGTCAACAATTAAAAACCACTAACCAAATAATGAACAAAAAAAGAAACGAATTGTTTAAACGAGAGCATTTCCCTCAAACTATATCGCTCTCTTCTTCCACCCACCTGGACCACCTCCCCCTCCTTTCTCCTCTCTTCCCTCTACCCCCGCCTCATCAATTTCTTTTCCTCTCTCTTTCATTGTTTTTGGGGATAAGGGATAACGAATGAATCAGAGAAATGTGAAATTAAATATGAGAATGGGTGCGATGTATTGACGGATTGAAGGAGAATGGAATAACAAAAAAAAATTGGGGAAAAAGGTGATAGTGAATGTCGTATACTTGAAGAAGTTATATATGCATAAAAATATATACATTTTTTGTGTGCTTTTGTCAGGGCACTATACCAATCGAGGCAATGGAAATAATCCAACCTGTTGATGCTGCCAATGTTTTTTAAACATAACTTTAGATATTTTGAGAAATATTGTATAACAAGGATTTGATGATTTTTTTTCTGGGAGAGTATTTGAAATGGTGTCACCTGTCAGTGACTTTTTACAAATTTTTAAAATATTCGTTTATTGAGGGAAAACGAGATCCTGATATCAATAAAAAAACATGATTTAATTAGGAAAAATCTATATCATTCATTTTGAAATAATAGTGGATATTTTTTGATGGTATTTAATATTAATATTCACAGAATAGCAGCGTTATTGCATTAATGTTTACAGTTTACTAGTGTTATCAATATCATTGTAATAATTATAAAGAAAATACGAAACGTGCTAGAGGCTGGGGATTTAATGATATCTCATCATTATTTTCTGCCCGTGTCATCTGATAAATCTCACGTCACAATATATTATTTCCGTTAAAAACAAAAATGTATTTCATCATTCACAAAATCACGTTGACTACCGTTGACCATTAAATTACTGGTAAGACATTCCAAACGCATAACATAAATAATATAATTCTCGAATCAAAAAAAAAAAAATGCTAAACCTGTGCAGTTATTTTTATTATTACTACTTTTTTTTTCTCAACACACGAAACCACGTACTTAAATTAATGGAAATAAATTGTTTCATAGAAAATATCGATTGTTTTCATTGACGAACTCTATCTTTATTAGTCCATCGATATTTACCAGTGCTCAGAGCGAATAGAATAATCTATTATTCAATGTCCGTGGAAAATTATTAAATTCCGTTGAAAAATATTGGACAATCGATTTCCCTGAATTGCAGCTAGAATTTCCAGGAGAAATTCTCGGTTCGAATTATTTTTCAGACACCAGTATTCATCGAGGATCATTGAATCACTTCTCGAAAAAAATGAAGAGGATTAAATTAATATTAAAAATACTATCATATCGATTATTTATGATTCTCTCAAATATAATTGGTGCGGCAGCATTCAGCCTGAGTATATCACCCCAATCTTCACAAAACCCCGAAATTATTTCAACAGTTTCCTATTCAAAGTTCTGCAGTATTTATTCTACGCTGCTAACACTATCCGCGTTCATAATTATTTGGAGTATTCGCGAATTCGAGATGATGACAGATTCCAATAAACCCATGGTATTAAAAATATTGGATAAAATATTAGGAATAGGAGGAAATTTACTTGGCGCTCTAATAACAGGATATATTTACTGGAATCGACGGTACCACATCGATATCACCAACAAGTGGTTAAAATTCCATCGCAATCAGTCAATATCATTTCCAAAAATATATTCCCATAATAAAATAATATTCAATTCAACTTTCCTCTTAATATTTTCATTCAGTTTGTGGATTGGCATGTGCATGCTTGCAGAAAATAAATTATCCCTCGTTGACAACTTTATAATATTCCAATGGAATCACATAATTTGTTCAGGTCTACTACTACAGTACGCAGTAATTCTAATGCTAATACAATATCAATTTAAAATCCTGAATAATAGTATTTCCCATTCATTGAGAGGGCAAAAGCAAAAATATGCGGAGGCAAATCACCGAGTAATTAATTCCCAATTGATAATAAAAGATAAATCAACAATTGTAATTATCCGAGAGACATGGAATGACTTGTACAACATATGTTACGAGATATCAAATTTCTACTCACCCCCGATTATCGCTGCGATTTTTCGATTATGTGGATCTCTCCTCAGGACTGTTTATACAATTATCGTCTTATCACTATCGATATCCAACATGCCTCATTACCAAAGAGAAATCATTACCCCGGCAATCTGGACAGCAGGAAATATAACGATTTTAATAATCATTACTTCATCCGGTCAACGAGTAATTAATGAGGTAAACATTATTATAATGTCATTATTATAAAAATTTCAATTTCTACAGAATAATTTAATCTTTAGGTGCAGAAAACCACATCGAGCATTACTAATCTACAAATCCAGTACCGAGCACTGGATTCTATTAATTTATTGGTATTCAATATTAAATAGCTCATGCATATTAACAAAATAGTACCGATGATTTGTTTTCAGTTGCGCGAGTTTTCGGTGGAATTATATCATTCGAAGATAAATTTTATATCGTATGAATGTTTTTCTGGAGTTGATCTGCAATTTTTGCACTCAGTAAGTAAATTTTATATCACAGCACCAAAATGTCAGTTATTATGGTATGAAATTAACGAAACAATTAGTTGATAGGTCTAATTATCACTTATCAATTCATTTTATTACAATTCGTGAGAGATACGAGTGGAAATTCTTCGATTCAACTTGATAAATAACGGAGAGGATATCCATCAACAATTGATTAGTGAGTGAATGATTTAACAATAATTATTTAAAAGGAAATAACACTTGTAATTCAAATAATGAACACTCCGAAGACAGGGCGCCATGTACCACACAAACAAGCATATAAGTATATAAATCCTCACACTAACACCGTCTAATAATTTCGCCATGTGTTTCGTCTCGGTGGTCGGTCCAAATTTTTGAAAAAAAAATTCCCTCTCGAGTGAATCCAACAGGAAAAATTATTAAATGTATACACGAATGTACATTTCTCCAGTCTTCTCCAAACATTCGCATCTCTTACGCACTTGTGCGTATAATTATTCAATTTTACGTACCTACTCATTATCAACATTGAAATACCATAGCTACGATAATTCAATGTCTGAAAAAGATCTTCAACGTCAATTGCAAAAGCTGCGACGAGAAAAGCTCTCGAAATTCGATAAAGTATCTCCCAGTACTGTAACCCTCCAGGTAATTGTTATGAATATTTTTGATAATAAGAATTAATAAAGTAATGATATATTTTTATGTGAAAAAGGTACTGGGTTGTGGTGCACCTGGATCACCAGCTAGTCTCTACGTCTCGACAGATCATTCAAAATATCTATTCAATTGTGGTGAAGGTACCCAAAGACTAGCTCACGAGCATCATTTGAGGTTATCAAAGTTGGAGCATGTTTTCTTCACAACTCCCACGTGGAAAAATATGGGAGGACTACCCGGTATGGCCTTGACTATCCAGGATGCTGGAGTACCGGAAATAAAGCTCCACGGACCAGATGGAATAATTGATATTTTTGATGCTGTCAAACGATTTGCTTTCTTAGCTCACTTGACTGTATCCGAGGCTAATTGCGCCGAGAGTACTGTCTACAACGACTCTTGCATGACAATTCGTTACGTTCCATTGATCAGCACAAATTCCACGTGTGAGACTCCCTCGGACTCTGACCAATCATTAATTATTCAGGACGACACTGATTACTACGCCCACGAATTTAATAAAAATGGGAAACGACGGATTGAGCAGTATCAAAAACGTCAGCGACCGTTGATTAATAAATTACCCAAGGTCGAGTCTAGTCTGCGAAAAATTACGGGATGTATTGCGTACATATGTAAATTGCATCCAAAGAGTGGAAGATTGAATCTTGAGAAATGTGTTGAGAAAGGAGTGACTCCTGGACCTGTTCTCGGTGATTTGAAAGCTGGAAAGGATGTGACATTACCTGATGGCACCCTCATCAGAAGTGTGGACGTGTGTGATCCAGAAATTCCAGGTCCGGTGTTCATCGTATTGGAATGCCCCGACGAGAATTATGTAGATTCTCTAATATCGAATGAGATATTCCGAGAATATCAGAGTGATGGAAAAATAGAAGATAATTGGGCGGCTTGTGTCGTTCATTTTACCCCCGAGGAGGTATTGAAAATGAAAAAATACAGAGAATGGATGGAGAGATTTCCAAAAACCACTGAGCACTTGATTATCAATGGGGCAAATGAGTCTTACAGCTTCGAAGCGCTTCATAAAATTCAGCACAAATTAAATTTGGTTCATCCAACTATTTTTCCAATTATCGGAGACTCCGTGGATAATAGTAATGATAATGTGGAAAAAAATGATGAAGAATTGAATCTGCGAATTCACAGAGCAAAAACCCTGAATGCTTTTCATTTAAGACCACTCGATGGTTTCGATAAAACAGCTGAAATAAAACTGAATAGAAAGGAAGATATTGACGAAGCTTTTAATGTCGATGGATTTCTCGATGCCTTGGCTGAGCTGCAGACGGAAATTAATGCGAAATCAAAAGCACTGACGCATTTACCTGAGTATCCAAAATTATTAATCCTCGGGACGGGCTCTTGTGTACCAAGCAAAGTGCGAAATACTAGTGGAATTTTATTGAGAATCAATCCTGAAACGAGTTTATTATTCGACTGCGGTGAAGGTACTCTAGGACAGCTGACTCGTTTCTTTGGGAAAGACAAAATCAATGGGGTACTGGAAAGCATTAAGGGAATATATATTTCCCATCTCCACGCAGATCATCATCTAGGTCTTATCAGTATTCTACAACAACGTCAACTCATCACGAAGTATCCGGTATTTCTGTGTGCACCTAAACAAATTTACTCGTGGCTACAGATTTATCATCTTAAATTTGAAGGGATTAATAAGTCTTTCAATTTAATTCCGAATCAAAATTTGATTCTCAACTCGCACAAGCTCCCTATCAATATACAAGAACAATTAAAAGACTCATTGAAAATTGACCAAATTAGTACTGTTGAAGTTAATCACTGTCTCCATTCATTCGGAGTTTCAGTGATTCTTGAGAATGGACAAAAAATTGTTTACAGCGGTGACACACAACCCTGTAATTATCTTGTAGATCTCGGTAGAGACTGCGATCTTCTCATTCACGAAGCCACAATGGAGGATAGTATGGAAAAGGAAGCCAAAATGAAAATGCACTCAACTGTGTCCCAAGCAATAACAATCGGTCAACGAATGAATTCTAAATTCACTGTACTTACGCACTTTAGTCAAAGATATTCGAAGATACCGAATCTACCCAACAATCCTGACGATCAAAACCTTTTAAATGTTGGAATTGCCTTCGACAATATGCACGTAAGTCTTTCCCAATTACCACTTTTACCTCTATTTTATCCTGTTTTACGGATTTTATTCAGCGAATCTTTATCGTTGCTCGAAGAGAAAGCACTGAAACGTAAACTAAAAGAAAACAGAGCAGTAGTTGACGCAAGGTAGTGTCACCTTTTTTTTTTTTTATGATTAATGAACAAAGAAAATTTTCATTTCTCATTTTATTAATGATGTGTCTTTTTTCATCTCCATTTCCAATGATTCTTTCCTTCAGTTAGTTATTAAGCAATACAATACTGTAATATACCGAATTGTGAAGAATTGTATAAAGCGTAATAGAGAAAATTTTCTTTAAAAAATAATAAATAAAATGATAGTTAGAGAATTTTTATTATCACCTTCTCATGGTCGAAGAGACCATTTCCATTAATTAAAATTAAAAAACAAAATAAAATTATTCCGTATATATTATCATTCCATTATTAACCCGCCCATGGATTAATTCACGGTGTATTTATGTAAAACTTGATTTTCCAAAAATCTTCAACCAAATGATAACAATATGAATATTATTATAAAAAGAAAAAAGGGATAATGTACAATTTGCGTATACGTTCACTTTCCTCCACTATATTTGCTGATATATAACTCGCAATATTTAGCCACAGCGATTAGATAAAATGATGACTTCTACTCGAAAATATTAATTCAATGTTCTGGTAATAACGAACATGAGCAAATTGGAAATATCATCGAAATATAAAAATCATTTTCCATCATTATTTAGGTCTTTATTTTATATTAAAAAATGTCATGTAAATTTTCATGATTTTGGTATAAAAGTTTACAGTCATATAAAAATGAAAAATCACAAGGGGAATTAAATTGGAATGATTTTTCTCTGAGGAAAATTCCCTTCAATTTAATAATCTGACCTGACTATCATAGTTATAACTAATTCCGTAGATAGCTAAATATCCAATGAGAGTATGACAGTTTAACCGTGTTGAATAAAAATAATAGATAAAAAACGAAAAATCAGGTAGTTCAAAACGACTCACCCTATCCATTGTTAATGACTGATGGACGGTTGACCCTTGACATTTGACGGCGGATAGTCAGATTAGACAATTGAAAATGATTTTATGATTTATGCGACACTCATTGAGGGTATACTATATAGCTCCTTCAAAGTATAAATCGTATCTTAATCAATGTACTATTAATATTCAGTGCTAGTAGCGTAAAAGTTATGCTTTATCCCTACATTTATTGTTCCCCTCCCTCTCCGTCTCTCAGAGTACTATATGCCGCAAAGAAAGAGGCGTTGAATAAAAATTAAATTGAATAATCCGAGAGCCTTAGAATTCCCACTTAGTAGCCACCTCATAAGCTGTTTCACCCAAACGGAGAGCTCCATTTTTTCCAGCAGTTAAATATCTGCCATCAGTGCACTTGATGCATATACGAGACGGTTCACGAAGTTCCAAATAAAATCCAACCGACGGTTGATCCGCGTCGACAGTCACTCCCTCATTATCAGCATTCCAATATTTACCATTTTGCCCTGAAACAATAACAATCATTGGATATTTCATAATAATTCATGCAATTACCAAATAAAATAGCTCAAGCGTACCCTTGAAACGAACAATACCACGTTCACAACGCTCTACGCGAATTGTCTCGTATGCGGCTTTATTGCACTCGAGTTTTGGGCTTGCAGCACTTTTGGGCCCGACAAATCCTTGCTCACAACGTAGAACGAGGATGGGCCGATTCATAAGATAAAAGTAATATTTCGATGCATCGGAATCACCAGATATCGGTGAATCAGCGTTGGCGTACAAATGCCCAGAGCGTTTAGTAGCGAGGAATTTTCCATTATTCGCTCTGAGCGCAACTGTTCCATCGTCCGGCTGCCAGACAAGATCGAATAGAGCATTCGACGAACGTTTGTGATCAGAAGCCTGAATTCCACCACCAGCCTCTAAACTCCAGTAACGATCTTGCATTGTTCTGACATACCATCGTTTTGTCACACGATCAAACTCCAATTGGAATGTCTCATGACCTGATATTTCATCCTGATTTGCAGTAACATCGACACCTATTGCAAATATCAATAAAAAAAATATATTTCAACGAGTAAATGATAAATTTATTCTCTGAATATTGTCAATATCTATTAATATTCCATGTGCGCGTCAACAGAGATGACTCATGAATTCTTAATCAGCTTGGGTAAGGCAAGTTCCGGTGGCACTATCACACTATACTTTTATCCTTTTTCGTGTAAAACTCTGAATTTGTTAAATATACCTTGCTTAACAGAGACGTAACGCTGATTGAGTGCAGCAACGAATGATGCTTGTGGCAAGGATTCCTCCAACGAGAACAATTCGTCTCGCGTCACAGTTGTTGATCGTGATTTTAAAACGGCTTTGCTACCGATCGGCGCCAAATAGGCTCCATGAATATCCCTAATTAAATAAAAACGTTAAAAAAACGCAGACATAAATTAAATGATCAGATCATCGTAATGCAGCCTACATGATTCGTTTTTTCATCTCAATTGTATTGAAGGAATTGATATTAAATGGCTCGTGGCCTAATTAGTCTCAGTCCGTCTATCGTGAGAAAATGAATAATACCTCAGTGCGAGCAATCCAGCGTGGAATTCCGCGGCATAGAGGCACTCTCGAGTACAACTGTCAAATAATTTTCCATCGCGAGCAAGATACTTGTTATTGCAGGTGTGAAGAGCATAATGACCTCCTTCAGATTTACCATGCCCAACCGTGTCATTGTCAGCGTTAGCTGCTGGACGGAATTCAAGTGTGAATAGTGTATCCTCACCCCAAGGTACTGGTGCGTCAACATGAATTTCGTCCTGAGTTGCGCTCAGATGAGCAAAACGTTTGCGCCCAGCTGATCGTAGATTCACCTGTTACCACAAAATGTTGAAATTAAAAAATCTGTATTTATCGTTTTTAGAAAGGATCAGTACCTGTGGTCGAGCTGCGAGATGCACCAGCCAATATTCAGCCTCACCTGGAGCCTTGGCTGTACACTTGAGTTCATCTGGACTAGAACCCAAGAAATATCCCCGCTGTATATTTTTCAAAGCCCACCTACCACTTCCTGCAATCAACGAATTAACTTCTCTTCAGTATCTGTTTATTATCCCCTTTTATGAGGAATTTATGGTGGATAATAGTGGATCATAAGATAAAATTTTATTTAACCTTTAGATCTTGTAAACTGGAAAACAATACCTGTTATCATGGAATTTCATCAATTGATGTGATAGGGATTCTCAGGCAGGAAGTTGGAGATACTCGGAAATATTTTTTAATAGTTATATTTACCATCAGAAGCAAGCTGAATCTGAAAAGCGCAGCCAGGATCAGATGGATCTTCAGCCTCGCAGGTGACATTTCCAAATTGATCGACAGCAAGATATCGATCCAAGTGAGAGCGCAAAAAAACTTGATGCTCACTTCCTTCGAGTGTCCAAAGCTGTTTTTTCTTCAAGCTCGAGCCATTCCCATTTATTTTAAACCCAAATGTTTCAGCAGTTAAATACTTGAACTTGCCATTTATCAGGCCAACCTGAATACCAATAAATAAACATAAATAACGCATTGAGAGGTTCGCCACAAAAAAATTATAAAGGAAGACATCATTGATTTACCGTCCAACCAGTTCTATCTACTCCATTTTCGCTCACACCTTCCGCTCCGTTGCTCTGCATTGTTTCAACTCGTTTTCTATTACCTCGACCACCTGCTTTCAATCTCCAAGTCCTCTGTGTAGTACTGTCAATTATTTTATAGAAAATTGTTATTATAAATTCATTACAACAGGTATTTTATGCACGATCATCGGTCCATACTATTCACCTGCGAATTTAGTGTCATTACCTAAAACCTGTTTTCAGAGCATGTCTCTTTTAAATTAGTAAAAAGAAATAAATATGAATGTGTGTATATGCTGGAGGTGAGTAGTATGTATTTGCGTGAGGATCCCGCAAAACCATAACCGTTACATTGCTCTTTTCTTGCACATATCTATCAACCACGAGATTAAATTTATACCAGCCTAGATTTTTAAACTTGGTCATCGTGTCGCTTTTACCGCGATCGTGCTCAATAATATCCTGAATCATCTCATTTATAAAATAAACTATAAATAAAAAATTCTAAAAACACCCTGACAACAATAAAATGATAAATAATTATAACAATAAAATATAAATAAATAGACAAAAGGAAAATAATGAAAATAGTTCACACGATTCCGACAATTCGAATAATGAGAATATATTTAGGAATTTCAGAAAGGGCATTTTATTTATTTATTTTTTTCGTTATATTTAGGCGTTATCATGGATGCTGGCTCGGTAGTCAATGAAGCCAAGGCCATAGCATTTCGGTCTCAACCCCCGGGTTTCGACCCCACCCAGGCAAAACTACAGGGGATTTTTTTTAATCCATACACACCAATGTGTGAGTCAGCGCACGCACAACTAACAGACCAAGACAGAAGCCGGCAGAATGCCGGTTGACGATACCGAATATATCCTAATCCAAATAATAATTCACATCTTCCCTAATAAAATCATCCCCCACCAATTGATATTAAATTGTCAATCAATCCTAACAATGGTATCATTATAAAATTAATAATCCTACGACTACGTCCACCCCAATAATCTATACTCCCATTTCTTGAAATGAGAAATCATTCAGGATAACAATATGAATATTGCGATGATCACCTACTCACCTGCGAGGAAAATATATCACAGGATGTGGTTTATTTGAAATCCGGAGTATTGAAGATGAATATTACAGTGAAATAGAAGATGAAGAGCGAGGAGCAACTTGTCACGACTGGTGCGTGATGTGAACAGTGAACGTGAACAAACGATCTGAAGCAGCCATCTCTCCTCTACCTCGTCGATGCTCCCCTATCCTCCCCTAGTGGGGTTATCCCCTCGGCAGTCGGGATAGGCGGGGGAGGCGGGTGATGCTCAAAGGAAACGATAGAGGGACAAAACATCCACTGGTGGCGGTGGTGTGTACATGTATTCCAACACCGAGTCAAAACAATTCAGGACTACATCTTGACACACCACGAAGTGTCCATTGACCTAGCCAGCCACAAGGTTCATCACTTCTTTCATTTCATTTCAGTCGATTCATCCTTCGTCAATCGCTCTCCTATTATTTTTTTTTGTCTAATCACACTCGATATCACCATCTGTCAAACCTACCAAATGTTTTATTTTAATCAGGATTGGTTAATTATTTATCAACTTTTGTCCGGGAACAACTGAAAATTATGAATGCATGTTTGTTGTACTTTCTAGCTTCAGATGAAAACCAGAAGAAATTACAGTTCGCCAATTGCACTGGATTGGGCCAATTAACGGGATTAATGTGGTAAGTTAAATCTTGAAGAATTTGAGTTCATTAAAGGAATAAAATTTAACGGATGTGGAAACGAGACATTCATTTTAACGGTCGAATTTACATGAATGGAAAAAATTAATTAATGACGATTTTATTTACCGTTCCAGTTGCTCGAGGGAATGGACAATTTTTCGCATATTAATTCATGGAAATGATTTTATTTTTTTTTTATTATTAGAAATTTACGTACGAATGAAGAGTTTGTAAATATTTGAACGAGTCGTCATTCCCTCCAATTGTCTCGTTTCTCGTGTATATATAAATTGCGACACTAATACTTGGAGGTTTGACAAGGTGTTTACTGTTGAGAAATCTCGGAATGACTTTCATGATCCTAAGGAATTGGGCCCCTATTGACAATTAGACTGGGAACTTGGAAATCTCCAGAGTTTCACTGACCAACTAGTGGAATTTCATGAGACCGAAAATTTCTCATGATAATATTCATTTGTTTAAACTCATTCTTGGTACTAGAAGAGTTTATTTGCCTAATCAGCTGGATAAACTCTATTGTTTTCACCGTAGGATAATTAATGAAATAAAAAGGTAAAAAGTTCTCGTTATTTATCTGTTACTGTTAACCTACTAAATTCTCAGACGTTGAAAATTCGTTTATCATTATGATAATTATTAAAAATGATTGGAATGACTGTACAATTTGTTTTAATATATTATTGAGTCGACGATGCGATTAAAGTCCCTGGAACATCTGTCAGGATGCACCCATAAATGATTATGAATGTTGTTTGAATTAATCTGAAATGCAATTCGGAACAGAGATCGGATTGTGGTGAATAGAAAAGTAGAAAATAAAGAGAGGGGGTCAATGACCGAGACGATGAGACGTTGAGACGTTGAAAACTGTTGAGAACGGAAGGATTATGGAGAAGAAAACGATCAGACCGTAACTTTAGTGTGACCGTGACCGTGGCCGTGGCCGTGACCGGATTGCATCTATTCTGCCATCTACAGAATAAAATATTTTCATTCACAAGTGAAAAAAATTAATGTCAACAAACATTAATCACAAATCCAATACCTACTCGGATAATCGATTCAATAATTTTCAATCTCAGTTAAACGTACTATGTAAAACGTTTATTTTGAAATATTTTACATTGATGGGGTACAATTAATGCATTTTGGCTTGATAAATTTATTATAAATGTATATTGTTGTAAAATAGTTGTTAATGGTGGCTGCACCAATCCTAAATCCATCTATTTTCTGGTATTAAAGTACACAACGTGATTAGGCTTTGTGCAACCATGCCTAAAGGCTCTATCGATGACACTCGTATGATTATCGATGATTAACAAGCCATTGAAAGGTTGAGAAAAAAAAAATAATAATGGAAAAAGTATGAGATTGGTCATTGAGTGTATGATGGTAGGCACGGAGTGTTGACTCGACTAATTCTACCAGAGAATATTGTATATATATAAATGCTTCCGGAGGCACCAAAAACTTGTACATTTTCACACATATATTTCTCACATTTTTATCCTAAAAAAATTGATATAATCTTGTATTTCTCATCAATTTCATGGCGTTTAAAATACGTGATTGCAACCTAGTCCCAATGAACTTTCAAAAATTGACTGTTGTAATATTCTCAACACTCATTCATTGGATAAATTCTCATTTTATCTGCACAAATTTCCTCTCAAATCTCGACATAAGATCTGGCATTAGGGCAAAAAAAAAAGAAAAAATAAAAAAGAGGACAAGAAAAAAAAAATCACAAGAACGTTACACACACAAATCCATATGGCCTTGGTCTCTACATCTCTAAATCCAGCAGAAAAATCATATCATCATAATTATTATTATTATCATCATTATTAATCTAAGTGAATGAAAAATAATGGATTTGCTATGCATCCATTTATAAAAACTCGATGGCTTAGCAATAATTAACTTTTATTGTTTCCAGAAAGATTCATTATGGAAATTGTAATGCGCAGTGACCATCATTATTCTTTCCAATCTTTCTTAATATGAAATGACCACTCCCACTTGAGATGCTCATGCTTGTCATCATCGGTGAATAAAGAACTCACAGTATAAGATCCTCGGGCCATAACACCTGCTGGTGCATCTTCAGGTGGAGTTGTGTACGACTGGATTTCAGTTTTGGGGGGATAAGATCCGACCATATGCGTCATCTTGTCAACTGTAAAAAAAAAATCATACACTTGTTTATTTATCTGCTCAGCAATGTGTTAATGGCAGTCTTTCTAGATGATTTTGGTGAGTGGTTTTTACCTGTCACTCCTTTATTGGATGCCAGCATATAGATTTAATGAGCGTTAGATCATGTTTGGATAATTAAATGGAAGGGAAATGGAATAAAAATGTAGGAGAGAACTCACCGGGTACTCCTAGCTTGTATGTCTTTTGTACGTATCGTAAACCATGGACAATCTCTCGTTGAACAATAAAATCAATTCGAATACGATAGCTGACGCCTTCTTTAATGGTGAATGTCTGTTTTTTTAGCTGAGTCAAATCTCCAGTTAAATCAAGCTCCATGTCGGGTCTATCAGCAACACAGAGGGCCAATTTTTTTACAATCACTTTGCGGGGATCATTCGGATCTGTAATAATATACATAATATCAAATCCAAATCAATACCAAAGGATAATTAATAAATAGCCAATTGTTTCAACCTCACTCACCAACGATAATACCCCCAGCTCTAGCTTCACCCAAAAGTGTCTCTTTATATTTCCTCAAACTTTCATCCTCTTTATCAGCCTCAAGTAACTGCTCGATTGTTTTTTCTGGTGGAGGCTTATAAGTGGATTCAACTTCCAATTCCTCCTCAGGGCCAACATGATCACCAGATGCATCTGCCATTTTGCCTTTGACAACTACTCGAAAAACCAAAAAAATAAAAATAAATAAAAGAAATGACACATAAATCCTGTACGATACCCCCGGCTGTTCTCTCACTGAAGCCCGACAAATTGAAAATGAAATTATATTGATTCAATCAGTGCTACATGATCTGTCTTATCAGCGATTATTCGTTGATATAATGAACATCAATGTGCAGAACTCACCGTAATTTATAAATGATGAAAGCCCACAGTAATTCACTTGAACAGTCCCGGATTTGGTTATCCCAAAATTGGAATGATTATTAATTATTTATTTACTTAATTCGATAGGTACTCCTCGGTATTTATCTCTGGTACTTGACAATATATCGTGTGCAGAGATAGACTTATCCTCTCGTCTATTCCTTTCCGTCAGTCCCAAGAGACATAGTAAATAGTATACATGTAATATCTTCACAACCGGACAAATGTCGCTTGCTCTCTTGCCAAACGGAAAAGGCCTCGACAATATGGCTGATTGGGCGGATTAACTTCCGCTTTTCATCCAATTTATTTTTTCCAATTGCATTCTACTGATGTTTTTTTGAATGTCCCTCTCTTAAAAAGAGCGGGAAGAAAATAGTTTACATGTTTTTTCTCGTGATTTTGTCATGTTGATTTTATTTATTGAACAAAAAATAAAATAAATAAACATTTATGGATAAGAATATTTAATGGCGTCATCGTAATACTCCACCCCAAGAGAGGGAGGGCGCCACACGCCATGTTGGGGTGTTTTTTTTTTATTAACCAAGTTTTTATTGCAATGCTGGGGTGTTTATCAAGTCGATGGGGTGAATTTTATTTTCTGCGGTATGAATGCTTTTTGTTTTTTATTTGTTTAACAGAAATTTAGCCGACTATAGAACGTGTGGAAGGGGGAAACCACATCTTGTGGATTTTCAATGAAAAAAATTATTTAATGTATTGAAGATATACCACTAATGAAATTATAATTGCAGAATGAGCGCGTTGTCTTAATGGTAACGTGCTTGCCTTCCACGCCGACGGCCGGGGTTCGATCCCGCCGTCAATAATTTTTTTTTTTTTAAATAATTTCAATTTTATCTTTTTTTAATTGGTTAATCAATCTAAATATCGTTTAAACACTGAATTTTTGAAAAGCGGAAAGATATCCTGTGAAATTGACAAATTAACAATTTTTTTAAACGATACTTTTGCAAAATATATACTCCTAATGAAATCAAATTATTGTTCTGGTGCGTTATCCTAGCGGTAACGTGCTTGCCTCTCACGCCAACGGCCCGGGTTCGATCCCGCCGTCATTCATTTTTTTTTTTAAATAATTCCAATTTTTTCTTTCGATAAGTATTCACTGCAATTGAAAAATTCGAAATTTTTGTAAAAGTATCAGGAGAACATGACAATCGAGGAGCTCTTCACTGAAATTTTCACTGAAAGTGAAAAATTCGAAATTTTTGTCAAAGTATCAGGAGCACATGATAACCGAAGAGCTATTCACTGAAATTTTCACTGAAGGTGAAAAATTC